GTGAAACTGTAGCCCAACGAGGGATTTTGTAGGTCTACATACATTTATAGTTGTGAAACGGGGGCTCAACGAGGAATTTTGTAGGTCTACATAAATTTATTGTTGTGAAACTGTAGCCCAACGAGGGATTTTGTAGGTCTACATACATTTATAGTTGTGAAACTGTAGCCCAACGAGGGATTTTGTAGGTCTACATACATTTATAGTTGTGAAACTAGGGCCCAACGAGGGATTTTGTAGGTCTACATACATTTATAGTTGTGAAACTTGGGCCCAACGAGGGATTTTGTAGGTCTACATACATTTATAGTTGTGAAACTAGGGCCCAACGAGGGATTTTATAGGTCTACATACATTTATAGTTGTGAAACTGGGGCCCAACGAGGGATTTTATAGGTCTACATACATTTAAAGTTAGTATTATTATGTAGAAAGTCGGTTTATTTTTATATGAAAGTGTTTCGTTTCGATAGTCGAACACGTCCATTCTCACTATGTTTGTTGTCAGATTTACTATCAGTAGGTACGAAATAACTTTAGTTTCAAGTTATTTCAGTGATTACTATTGTATACATAAAACACGTTTCAAAACACCACACATACACTCCACCATTATATTAAGCCTAATCGACTTGCCCTTGCCTAGTGTTACTGATGGCGAGGGGTGGAACTACCCGAAATCGATATAACTCAGTGACAGTGGTGAATCAAATTAGATTATACTCCACTTTTATTTTTAATATTGTCATATAATTCACGAGAATAAATTAATAGCATCTATCTTGCATATTGTTGACATTTTTACATAAATATAGGAATAAATATGTGAATAAAAAATTTTAAAACATCAAAAATATTAGATCCAATATTATATTAAGCCTAGTTTATCCGAAAGGGGGCCAAAGGCCGCCTTGAGGGCTTACCTGTTTTAATCAGTCACAAACCTATACAATAGTGTGTTGTCTGTTAGTCAATCAGAAGACATTAAACTAACGTCACATAACGGACGCTGGACGTTGCAGTTTGTACTGTCGTGACGTCAGTAAAACGTGCCATGAATCACGAGAATAATTATGCACCCTGTAGGCTATAACACAGCATGACATATGAACTTTAAAATAAAAAAATATAAACATTTATTACACTTGATTTTGGTTTTATTTACTCCTTAAACAGAACACTTTTGGGGACCCTGCGGAAATACATCTAATTTACTTTTTTTGGAATTGCTATTTTCCAGGGTTATTGGTGAGGGATGAAATTCTCCAAAACCGGTATAACTCAGTGACAAAATCGAATGATGGGTTTTGGCTTCACATTTATTTTTTAGTATTAATCTACTATCGACATCGAAGACATGGAATTTGTTTCTATAAAAGACGTGCTACCTACAAGAAGAAAACGGTGAAATAATTTACATAAGTATTGAAAAACAGCAACAGAAAACAATCCTCCATATTGGTAGTCCTATTAAAAAAATGATGGGCAACATTGTAATGTGATCCTTTGACTCGATGTGTTATTTCAATGTATGATAAAACAATCCTCCATATTGGTAGTCCAATTAGAAAAATGATGGGCAATATTGTAATGTGATTCTTTGACTCAATGTATTATTTCAATGTATGATAAAACAATCCTCCATATTGGTAGTCCTATTAAAAAAGTGATGGGCAACATTGTAATGTGATTCTTTGACTCGATGTGTTATTTCAATGTATGATAAAACAATCCTCCATATTGGTAGTCCAATTAAAAATAATGATGGACAATATTGTAATGTGATTCTTTGACTCGATGTGTTATTTCAATGTATGATAAAACAATCCTCCATATT